TGCTAACCTTAATAACTGGGTTCAACACCATCATTACTGATGAATCAGGTGTCACAATAATTATTCGTTGTAATTGAGCTATGGTTAAAGCGTTCGTTGAACTACTACAAGGACAAAGAATATATATGGGCAGATCCTGTTCTAATATGTTATGCGCAGTTTCCTAATAGTTCAAATTAAATTAATTAAGTAATTTTAGTCCTTGTGAAAATCGATCCTGTTAATACCTTAATATGTCCCGCATGTCCAAGCTTGCAGACTTGTCCGACGCCGCAACTCATAAATCTATGACCAAGAGGACACTCATACTCAACGCCAAGGTATCCTTTCAACAATGCATGCTCGCTTTTGGAAATGTCTTTTGCCATGGGCGTTATGGATATGAAAGGCGGTGTTGTTTTTTCACTTTCCTTCTTTTGATTATTCTTACCCCCACGCCTATGACGTTTTTCTTTATTTATATCACCAGTCTTTAAACCTTCTACGTTTGATATTACAGATTGTGTCTCATCTAACTGTATGGGATTTTTTTGAACATCTCGGATCAATTGGATAAAATCATTTAAATAAAACGCTGATGGTATAGTCCATTGCTGATTATCTAAATAGCAAATCACACATTTCAAGATATTGGGATCAAACAAAAGTAATCATACTAAGCATTAAAGTATTATAACTCACTTTCATTTCCTAAGATAGGCCAGGTAGATCCACTATCATTCTTTATATCGTCTCCATTTTTTCCTTTTTGTTTAAATCCTTTTCTTGTGACTTGATTGGCCAATTTATCTTCTTTCACTCTAGATTTCTTGGCTTTATTGGTATCATTGCCAACCGCATCAATTATCCATCCATGTGTTTCTTTCACTTTTATTAATTCTTCTTGAACTTTTTTCGATAAATTCGCTATCAATGGAATTTCCAACGGTAAAAGGAAATTCGCATTTGTGACGAAACCTTCCCATTTATCTAAGCCAGAATTAGAACGATACGTTGAACCGGAACCAACCTGCATAAGAGACCACATTGAAGTGGAAATTGCTGAGTTCTCAACAGGTAATACGAGGTAGTTATAACCTTCTGAATTACAACAATTTGGAAAGTGGAAGAAAGTTATATTGGCATCCTAACGGGATGCGAAACAATTTAAGCATTTACTCAATAAGCAGTTCTAACCATTAAAAGGTTGTTAAGTTAAATTCGTTACCACTAAATCAAAAGGATCCTCTCTTTCTCGACAACTTCTTCCACAATTACACGCATGGAGCGCTTGAAATGCACTCCTATGCTTCACTGCCTTTTTTACATTACTTTTTTCCCCATCAACATTATCAGAGTCATGATTCGCCTGTTTTAACATATTAATGTAATCAACAGAATTCGATTTCTACGATACACGATTAATATACGCATACGCACTCCTAGAACGCATTCATGGCCCGACAAACTTTGTATTTCGCATTTTTGTCTTCCGCGTTCCCAGATACTGTAACATTCTTGCCGTAGTTTTGCGGCATAATCTTGTATACAAGGTCCACGTGCAGATGACATATAAGATTTCATTGCATGATCCAACTACAGCAGATGTATATATAATATTAAGTGACGTGAAAAATGGTATATACAATTAATTGAATATTTTAAATTACCTTAATTTCATGATATTGTTTAGTATAATATGTAGGTGATTCTAATAAATATATATCGATAGCTTTCCTCAACACTTGAGCACAATGACTGAATTGGAAAAAAAGGTAATATAAGATTACTCGAAAACATAATGGTCCAATAACAACACAATTAAAGTTTAGTTACATTACTTTGCAGAATATCGACTATTAACTTGTACACAATCTTTTAATCTCCTATTAAGTGTATCATCCACAGCACTGAAACTTTTTCGCTCTAAAATTTCTTTTCCAAGTTTGCCAAATAATAATTCTTGTAAGGCAATACAACCTGCAATCCACTGCTTGGCATTCGGAAGCTGTGTTTAAAGGATATAAATTTTTTATTGAACTATTTCCACACGAGGAATGTGGTAATGTAGACGTACCTCGCTTGGTGCCATTCCACGTTTAGCAAAACTTCTGGGATAACCAGTTGCAGCCCATTTTAACCAACCAAAAGCAAAATCCTTCAATAACTTTATTTCAAAATGTTCAGTGTTTCTTAAATCAAGTTTGCGTCTGCGCAATAAAGATTCAATGTCCATTTTTTCATTTTCATGAGGTTTCATGTTAGAGATAAAAGCAAAAGGTGGATCTGGTGATAATAAATTGCCCGTAGATCCACGTGTGATAAGATGAATAAAGAATTGAGAGGAAGGAGGTGGAAGTGTGAAGAGCTGTCGACTAATAAACGCATATGATATATATATATATATATATATATATGTATCAGTAAATGTAATATTTAAATATACTTTAGATGCAATGCTAATTTACAATACCTATCAAATGATGCATGCAAGTCACTAGTTTGCACAAGATGACATGTACGAAATAAAAAGCGAATACGTGCTTGTAAGGCTTCTTTAATCCTTTTTATGCTACCCGAAACAGCCTATTCACGTGTATAAAGGATGTCCTTAAAAAATTAGTTTCGTATTTTCTGATATTCAAATAAATTTATCTTAAGACATTTTCAACTTGCTTCCGATTTATTTCCATCTATTATAGAGACAGTCGATAGTTGAACCTATAGGAACCAATGCGAGAATGTTAATGAGTTATTATAATTTAATAGTGTATAAAAGTTTCAAACTTACCTCTTGAAATAAAAAAATTATGAATGGAACACATCGTCCAGGTGTCATCATTCCACCTTGAGCAGCCCCCGTTCGACTGCTGCCGCCGTATCCACCCATGAGTGATGTTCCGTACGGCAGAGGTATCTCTAAATGGTTCAGGCACAAATTAATGAAATTATTCGCATGTGGCATAATATGTCGTTTGACTGAAGACATAGTCCGAAGCAAGGAAACCATGTTGGAATCCAATTTGGATATTGGCTGAGCCAACTTTATAAAGTAATGATATATATAATTTTTAATTTAAAAGGAAAGAAAAACATTTTTAAATGTATAAAACAAATACTTACCACCACCACGTGAGACAACATAAATGCGAACACTAACATTCGTAAGCAAACATGCTCATCTTTCCAGACATAACTTTGAAATTCTTGCTTTAAAAAAAAAAATAATAATAATAAAATTCAATTTTACTAACTACTGTGTTAAGCGCAAGTAAATCATCATTCAAAGTTTACCTCATTTTCAATATTAGGTTGAACCTCTTGCGATAATTGCAAAAGCATTTCAGAATTGTTTACTGAATCCATTAAAAGATAGATCGTATTTTTTGACAGATCGCAATACATCCATAAACAATGCTAAATATTCAGAAAACGCGTTTTAATATATATTCTCTTAAAAAAAAGGAAACAAAAAAAAAAAGTGTAAAAATTGAAACTTTACATTTTTACCATTTGTTGCCAATAAAGTTGCTTTGCTAAATCGACAATTACAGTTTTTAACGCAACAAACCGACTAAAATCGTAAGTTGTTACATTTGTAACTTCTCAAGAACGCGTGAATAATCATAAGCGCTTAAAAATATTCCTTACTTGTCCAAACACATTCTTTTCAATAATGGTATTAGCGATTGAGCTTATTTTTGAAGTCGTGTCATTCTGTGAAAATCCAATAAATGTCACAACGGACACGGCCGCAAAATTTTGAAATTTTGAAGTTTCGCATAGTCCTAATAAAAATACATATATATTATGAGTTGTATCAACATTTACTTCATTAAACTATCAAGAATCTGGAAAATAGTACTAACGATCAAACTTTTGTTTCAGGGTGTCAAGACTTGGAGATTCCTCATGGTTTATATCCTCTTCCGAATACATGGTTCGTTTATGTAAAGCATAAATTAAATTTGTATATATATATGCTCCCAATTGCTAATTGAGGATGGCAATTTACCAAATTTATATAAATACCCGGCCTAAATTAACCTGATAGTATAGGCCAGGGTTGGGCAGCCTTCTATGTCCGGAGGATCCTCGACTATGAGCGACGATCAATAATTTAGGCCACAGCCACACATTAAGTGAAAAATATTCCTGGGCTAATTTTACCATTGTGCGGGCCTATTTCTCTAAAAATTTCCATTTTGGGAATGAAAAAGTTAAAAAGTTAATTCCGGCCAAAAATTATGTAAACAATTATGTAATGCGGGCCAAAATTTTGTAGATCACGGCCGTTAGCCAATCAAAATCGAGGATCCTCCATGAAATTTTGGTGCGGCAGCTAGGTTCAATATTTTACCAGACACCGGACATATAAACATTAGGGCTAATTTTTTTAAACCCCAAAATTTAAAAAGCATTGACCGATCAGTTGGGGCTGGATTGTCATTTGACAAAATATGATTGAATAAAATCATGTAATATCACAAAAAAAAGTAATCGGTTTAAGGGTGGGGTAATCGGTTAGACGCCGATTCTAATATACAATTTCTCTAAATTGAGGGTACTTTATAGTGACGTACATGTCAATTGACTGATGTACATGTCAATTGACTGTATAATATCTAACAAACCATTATAAATTGATTAGAATTTAAGTCACCAAAAAAAAGGTCCAATTAAACAAATTAGCCCTGATTGTCGGTGTCCATTGATCTGTTAACACACTTAGAATAAAAATTGGCAGTATATTACTGTTCTAATATTTGGTTTGCTTGACTCTGAACGGAGGTTTCTGGTTTCAAAAAAAATTGTAGACATTTTTAGAAATTTAAATTTCATCGGACAATCCACTTGTCCGATTGCCCAACCCTCCAGATTTGGTGAAATCAATTTCAAGATGTAAAAGAAGTGTAAAAAAATTAAAACAAAAAAAACGCTTGTAGCTTAAAATTTTGCCTATGAAAGTGCCTTCTGCGTACTAACAAAAAATTTTTCTCGTGAAATTTTACTATCCCTTACACTGTCTTACAGGCAAATTTGCCTGGAAATTTCATGATTAATCTGTGATCAAGCTATCAAATTATATTGAAATGTATCTAAATTGCAGTAGATTCGTAGTTAAATTGACGGTGTAAGAGATAACTATAGCCATGCTAATCTACTAGTGGAAATAGGTCCATATCATTTTCCGATGTTTTTTCATTCCTTTTTTTTTCTCTCTTTGGCTATTGCTTCATTGCTTCTTTTCTTGGAAAACATCTTCCAGTATTATATTCTTCTTCTGCTTGGCTTGTACCTAGTGGAGGTATAAATTGATTATTTTACAGACTTTTTCTGTATTTCTTTTATTTTTAGCTCATTGGCAAAGGTTATTTTAGCTATCTGTTTTATAAAATTTTTTTTTTTTTTTGAAAATATATATTGTTTTTGTTTCTCTATCTTTAAGATGCCTTAGCAGTTAAGCTTTTGAGAGGTTTTTTGTGATCTTGTTATAAACTTATGTTTTTTGTCTCTTTTTTCATGATCTTTTTTTTTAATTAAAACATACAGTATATTAGTCTTTTATTATCTGTTAAAAAGCCCCAAGAGATAACTTTGGTTTCTATTCTTTTATCAAATTTTACTATTGTAAGAGCTCTGCTGTTTCTTTATTGAATATATATATTCTTTATTTTGTTAAGCTTTTTATATATATATTTGATTCTTGTATATTTATATTTATCAAGAAATCTCAAACTATAATATAGTTTATATTTATAGTATATATTTTTCATATTTATAACTTTTTGCTAATAGTTAATCTTTTTCTTTTTGGTATTTTCTTTTTTGTTATTTTTTTATGCTGAATTTTTTTTTGAATTTGCTATATATAGGATAAGATTAGTTACAAATTGTATCAAGATGATATTAATTTAAACTATCTATTATATCTTATATAACCATTAAGTATAGCAAATCATCTTTTAATTTTCTATTTAAAAACTAATTTAAATTAAACTATTATTAGTTATAAGAAGAGAAAGAGAAGGTTCAGTTATACTGAATTTCTATTTTTATATGATAAGCTTTATATTTTTTAAAAACTATTTTTTTTATTAACTTGTATTTTTTATTTTTCCTAAAATTAGATTAAACCAATTATTTTCTTTTTTTTTAATTCTATATTTTTTTCAAATTTATAGTTGAGTTTATTTCTATTTAAAGAATTTTTTTTTGAATTTATTTTTTACTTCTTTAATATATTTGTTCTCTTTAAGTATTCTTATACAGTATATTTAACTTTTTTTTGATTTCTTTTAGTATAGATGAGTATATATAAATTATTATAAGATTATAATATTGTTACAGTAGGACTCTGAAATACATACTGAGGAGTAAGGTTTTGCAAAAATTACTAAATATAGAAAGATTTGCAAGAAAAAGGGCAAAAATAAGCAAACTAATTACTAAAAATGAAAATAATCTGCACAAAAAATATCAAAAATAAGCAAACTCTAATCTGACCTATCTATGTATATTTCAGAGTCCTGTTACAGTACTATAGCTTTCTTAATAGCAGTACTAAGGATTTGTTTTCAGTTATAATAAAGTCATTAGTTTTTGTTTATTAAGAAAATTATAGCACTATTCTATTACAAGATCTAGTTATATTAAAGGTCAATAAAAGTCTAATAAAATATAAAATAAATAAGTGTTTAATGGAATTTAAATTCAATAGTCTCCAAAGATACTATAAGGATTTTGCAATAGGTCAATAATTGAAGCTGTCATCTATTGTCCTTTTTGTATTAGCTGGGTATAACAAAAACTTGATTGCCTTTTACAAGGATTATTAGTTACTAAAACTTAGAAATATTCTAAGATATAACTAGAGGAAGAAGTACTAATAATCAGGCTATCAATAGCTATATATAGCTTTTTAAATTCCAATAATATAAAGCTAATACTTTATATTATTTACAAGAAAGAGAATAACTATATTAATAAAATAATCATAAAGCTCAATAAAATAAATATAAATAATCTAATAAAATAAAATCCAATAAAATATATAATAACTACAAATAACCCAATAATATAAAGTCCAATAAATATAAATAAGTTAGATCCAAATAGCCAAAAATTTCACATATAACAGTTGTATACAATTAAAAAAATATCACATACAGTAATGGTATACAGTTAAAAATATCACGTACGAGAATTGTACTCAATTGAAAATATTACATACAGAAATTGTACACAGTTAGAAATACATATACAAAAATTTTACACAGTTTAAAATATCACGTTGTAATATTAACGAATTTTTATTAACATTTTTCTTATAATTTTTCTTAAATTTTATTATATATTTTATATGTTTAT